GGTATACTGAGCAACATCTTTAGGATTGACTGATCAAAAATGTAAGTTATATTTCCAATATGAGTGAAAATTGTTAACACTTCCTTGTTCGGTGGGTAGAACACTAGGGATAATTAAGATGGTCTTTTAAAATGAAGCCCACAAAGGGGGTCTGCCTGTGATTATTAACAGGCTCAATAAAGACCATACAAATAGCACTTTGAAAAATCAGAAGTACTTTAAAAATGTGAGATGTTATTTTTACTATTATTTTTGTTTTACATATTGCAAGCCTAGCTCGTCACTGCCCAATTTAAAATGCCTGTGCTTTTGGTTTCCCATTATCTCCCCGAATTTTGAAGTGAATTCTGTTTTAAAGTGTAATCTGTAACATGGCTATTTGATCCCACTGTCATCTTCATTACTACATCAAATTTATAGACTATTTTCTTTCCTCAATTCCATTTTAGTCTTTCCTTTCCTCTCTTTTCAGTTCTCTCTTGCTTTCCCCTAGACCCATTCTTTGTAACTGACCATTTCTCTTCTCATGAATTTTTAGAAGGCCACCACTAAATTTTCACGTGCGCATGAACAAAAACTACTCAAAAGGCTTTTCGTGATAACTTTAAGAATCATTAAAAAAAAACCTTTAGGTTTGTAACTATGGTTTATGTTTCAGTGAAGACAAAGCTAACATATTACTTTGACCACTGAGATGTTGTGGAGATCAAAGAAAAATGGAAACATGAAGCAAACAAATGAGATAATCTTAACATGGAAGAAAAATTAAATGGGTAAAAAGTAAAGGGTGGCATCTTGCAGTTACTTTATGCTAATTCGTAACACCAAAACAATAGCATTTCACCTGTTGGTTCTTTCAGTATACATGTTTTCTCAACAACTAGATATAAACTAGTGGAGGGAAGGGGCCCATGCATTTAACTTCTCAACATCCTTCAAAATATAGGACAGCTCTCCATGCATATTAGTCACTTAAAATGGGTTTGTTTGAATGAATACCCAAATAATGCAATTGGTAATTATCCCTAAATATTGACTAAAATTGTTCTCTATATAAGGAGTTTAAACAATGCAAGTGAATATGAATCCATACAGACATAAAATACATTCCTCCCAAGAGAAATTATATGAAATTGGTGATATATACAATTTATGCTTTATGAAAGAATGTTACATGAAATGAGAATGTTATATGAAAACATATGAGAACATTATATGAGAATGTTATATGAAAACATATAAACAGAACACTTAATTTGTAAACTTAGGTAACAAAAATAATCAAGAATATTTTTACCTAAGTTTTCAGGAATTGATTATAGTGAACCAAGCTGTGAGTGCCTGTACAATTAATATTTAGAGTGAGACATTGACTTATGTGTACTTGGATAAGTCATACTATTTGACCTATGCTTCTGTGTCTCGGAAGTGACGATACTATTCACCTCTCATCCACCTCCTCTGCAAAGATGCTCTGCAAATAAATGAGGTAATGTTTGGGAAATGTTTGCAGCTTGGGAAAGAATCCCACTGCATACATCCCAAATATTACTACTATTCCATATTCTAGCCTGGTGTATTATTGCCTCTGCTTAAAATTGAAATTCTATGTTAGATGCCTTAGGTTCTGGCAAAAATCTGGGTCAATATAAGATGATTATTTTTTATTTTAATTCTGAGATTCTGCTCAGATCCTGTGCACGTGTGAGGAAAAACTGTAGAAAATAAACAAAGCACATAAATCAAGCTTTGGAGAAAAATCTCTATCCAGAGGATTTTTTTTTTTCAATGAAGAGCATGAACACTGTATTTCCCTGGAGAAATATTTCGGTCCAGGAAGGAGGATAGTGCATGCAATGTGAGTGTGTGTGCGCGCGTGTGAGTGCGTACGTGTGTGTGTGAGTGTGTGTGTGTGTGCTGTGCGTGCGCGCCCGCGGAGAGAGGGGCGGGGGAGGCGGATGAGGAGGATGAGATCATAGTTTCAGGATCCTCAGGAAACCCTGGTACTGGCAGCAGCCAGCCTCTGCTGTGCCCACATGACCCACAACTCTGGCAGCGCACCCGGCACTTCCAACATTATTAAATAATAAGAAAGCGGCTCCTACTCCGTGCCCAAACCTCCCTCCAGACCAATGGACACCTTCTAAGAGTTTGGCGAGTCGGTGACTGAGGCGCCCGTCCATTCCAAGGTGTGTGCATGGCATTTTCTTCCTTGACAGCTCCTGAGTGGGGGAGGGCGTGGGGGTGGAAGGGGTCCGTGTGCCGGGCGAGGAGTGGGCGCCTGGCCGGGCTGCGACGCGCTGCTCCCGGCCGCCCGGTGCCGCGGAGCTGGCGGCGAGGCGGGAGGTGCACATGACGCGCAGCCCCAGAAGCGCAGGGACCGGCTGCAGCCGCCCAGGGCGCCGGGGCGCCGGCACCCGAGGCACGGCGGCCGGAGCAAGGGCAGGCGGCGCGCGCCGGGCAAAGTCGAGCGGAGGCTGTAGGCGGGCGCGGGCGGGCGCGGGCGCGGGCGCGGGCGCGGGCGGGGGTAGGGATTCGCCCCAACGCCCACTCGCGGGTTTCCCACCTGTGCGCGGGCGCTGGCCGCCGCGAGCGCGAAGCCTGTGCGGAGCTCCGCAGCCAGGACTGCGGCGCGGCGCCTCCCCGGGTGGCGGGCGGCGCCTCGGGCCCGCCGGGCGGCGGGAGCGCTGCTGCAGGATGGCCGGCCCGGGGGCGCGGGGCCGCGCAGGTAACCACCCCTCCGCCGCCCGCCCAGGCCCGGCCTCGCCTCCGCCCCGCTCGGGGGCGTGCGGCGACGGCCACCGGCTCCCTCGCGTCGCGGGCTGAGTTGTTTTGTTGTCTTCGCTGCCCTCTCGGGCGTCTTGGAGGGCCGAGCTGGTGGCGCGGCCACCTCCATTAGGGATGACACGCACGTTGGGGAGCAGCCTGGGGGGTCGTGACCAGGGAATCCGCGCTGGGCTCCTGCGCAGCCCGCGGGTCTGAGGGTGTTGCAATGCACTGCGGGGCCGGGCGGGGGGCGGAGCGGGAGGGGGCCCTGGGGGGCGGGGACGCGGGTGGACACCGGGTGTGGGGGTGAGTGTCGTCGACTGCCGTAGCCTGTTGCCCGCTTTGGAGTTTCCCGCTGGACAGAGGGCTAACGGGAGTTTCGCTCCCGTACTGGAGTGGGAGGTGGAGAGGTGTCTGTCAAAAGACCAAACCAAGGAGAATAGAGTGGTGGTGACGTGGGGCTGGGGCGCAGTGGTACCAAGCCTGGGACTTGGTAGTAAAACTTTCCTCGTTGGCAGGCTTGGGGCAAGGGTTTGAGAAGATAGAGAAGGCACTCGGGGGAAGGGTTAGATGTGCTCTTGCAGTGAAGTTTCCCACCATTCAGTTCATTCTTGTCCTAAAAAAAAATGGTCTTTGGAGTTGTTGTTGACGTTCTAATAGCCGGTTATCTGTTATGGTCACTTGATATTTAATATTTCTTTCTGAACACAATAGCCGACATTGTTGAAGTATACATAGTAACTCCTTTTACAAAAACTAACACTCCATTTTGCTTATTCCAAAGGTAGAAACTTTGGGGAGGGAGGGAAACGCTCTACATATTCCAGACACAGTTATCTGTGCTTTAGCTTGTTCTCTCCATCATTACTCCAACATAGGGGTAGGTAATATTATACACCTTTTAGAGATGAGGAAATCCAGTTAGAGAGAGTTGAAATAACTTACCCAAGGTCATACAGTTATTAAATGTCAGAGTTCAGTTGGGCTTTTACTGTATTCTTTTCAATTCAGATAATGGAAAAATAGATTCTGCATACAAACTGCACCCCACTGAATTTAAAGTCTTCTCTATTTGATGTATTGACCATATGTCTCTATCAAGATGTACCTTATACTTAGGGATTAATTGACTCTTTTGAATTTTTATTAATCTAATTATGAAATTATGGTAAATATCCTTTGAGTAGTTTCCTTTTACCACAATTAACCAAGTTACCTACAATTATAGATTAAAGTAATATTCATCAACAGTTTTCAGCACTTAGGATCTCTAAGCAAAATAGATTATTATAAAGCAGATGACTGAATCCATATATTTGTACTTAATTTTAAACTTTCTAAGGTTTTTTTTTTTTTTGTCTGCTATTTGCTTAGGTGTGACCATCATTTTCTGTAAAAAACCACCTTGCAGAATTTTTGAGGCAAGGTTAGTCATCATTAATGTAACCATTCTGACACAATGTTGGAGAGTTTAAAATAATTATGCAGCTCTTTCAACTATTAGTGATTATAAGCAAGTTATATTTTGAAGGTATCCCTGACTGTCATCCTTTTAAACCAGTTTTATGTACTTTATACTGTTACATATACTTTTTACCATAAATCTGATGTTCTTATTAGTTCTAGGTCAGAATACTTTTGAAATCTCCACTTGTTTCAAATGAATGATGATTAGAAGGAAGGACTCAATGGCATGAACTCCAACTGCCCATAGAGAATTATTCTTCATTTGAGTTTATCATGGAACTCTCATACTATTCATTTTATTGGACAGATGTCTCTCTCAAGTCTACAGCTGTTATTTTTTCAAGTATATTTAATTCTTCACATACAAGTTTCTGACCTCTAGATTTCCTTGATGCTTGTCCTTCAGTTTAAATTCAATATATATTTTTTTCAAATTCACACTTACTCAACATTGTAAGTGAAAAGAGACTAGACTCCAACTGACTATATAAACATGGCCTTGATTGTCAAAGTCATACAGCTCTTCAGAGGTTAATTTCCTCTACACCATAAATTATGGCTACCTAGTTATTTGTAAATGTTACAGTACAGTTATAGTCAGAATAATTGCATCCCATAATAGTATAGTACAGTGTTTTTTATATTGAAATTGAATTTTCCAAGTGTGTAAGACATTGATAGTTATTAAGTCATAAATCATATGATATATACATATATCCTTTCTTAATAGACACAACTGTTCCAGTTACTAGTTTCTGTTACTTATTTTGGAGACTGCATTCCTTTGCTACTTTTATCTCACCTGGTTGATTTGACATGACTTTCCTTTCAAGTCCCACATTCATAGTTCAGGGGAAATTTTTCTGCTTCTTGACACCTCCTCTGTTCCAGGTGCTGGGCAGAGCATTGGGGACAGTGGTGAAAGATCAGTAAGCCCTGACAACACAAGGGATCAGATTTTAATAAAATAATTATACAAATAAATATTTATAAATTGAGCTGAGTTCTTTGAAAGAAGGAATTCTATAAGAATGTATAATGAAGAGTTCTGGACCAGACTCAAAGGTCAGAACAGGATGCCCAAGAAATCATGTGAGGAAGTATTTACTAAATCATGTGGTCCTCAATGCTTTCAAAAATGCTTTGTGAATCAGAGACTTATGTCTCTCTCTGTTTATTTCTACACTTTACTATTCATCAGGAAATATATTGTTTCCCATCGTTATCCAAGGTTTACAAAACTCTTATCATCCTTTGTAATGCGTATAGAGCATGTGCCACGTTTACCTGGTTGTTATGCTGCTTGTGACGAGTTTAGTGAAATATAGTAATTTTCTTTGTCTTAACAACTATTTTCAAATTTTTAAAAGTAGTTTTGCACTGTGTGCATGTGCGCATGTGTGTGTGTGTGTGTCTGTGTGTGTGTGTGTGTGTGTGGTGGCGGTGGTGGTGGTTAAAGTGACAGGATGTCTCAAAATATAAATGTAATTGATTCATCACAGCCCCCAAGTATCCATGCAAAGAGAAGAGGCACCAGAGTAAGAATGATGTTAATAATGTTACACTGGGAAAATGGGTATTAACAATTTAAAGCAAACATAATAATTTATTGAATATTTACTGTGTCCTAACATCATTCTATGAACTCTATAAATTAGTATATGTATTCTTCACCATAGACTCATGAAGTCTTCCTGTACTACTGTCATGTCCATTTTATAGAAGGGGAACCACAAGGACAATAATCATGAGCGTTGTCACATAGGAAAAGATGAATCCTAAACTCAAGGATTTCTATTGCATAGTCTCTACTGTTAACCAGTGATGTGTGACACCTTGTTCATAATTTTACTGGTGCATTAAAAACCATCATTGTAGAAATTATAACACTTTCTAATTTGATCTTCTGGTTACTTTTCTCTTAATAAAAATCAATGGAAAAACTCGAACTGCCTTTCTATCGATGCTTGTTTGCCTGATACTTTAGAGGCAAAAAATAAATAAATAAATCAAGAAGAGATATGCCTTCACTCAAAGTTGGTGTCTGCTGAATTATAAGAAATGGCTCATTAGTTTTTTAATTCAAAAATAGTAACTCGAGTACCATTTGAAATTATTGAACTAGTTTTAAAAATTATTTTTATTGAGGTACCATTGTTTTATAATACTGTGTATGATTAATTCAGAGATACAGGGTCACAGTTTTTTAGATGTATGTTACCACACCGCATCCACCATCATTCTCCGCTATAGTTTATTGTGCACCCTACCTCCTTAATTCTCGACCTACCCTTCCCCTTCAAGTAGCCCAAATTTCACAGTCAGATTTATAGGGTGTGTTTTTGCCTTGTTTTTGCCTGACCCTTTGTTTTGTTTCCACATATGAGTGAAATGATTTTGTATTTGACTTTTCTCCATCTGACTCATTTTGTTAGCATAATCCCCTCTATCTCCACCCACATTGTCAAAAATAGCAACTGTTCATCTTTTTTTTTTAAGATTTTTAAAAAATTTTTATACAAGAACTGGGGTTACTGGCCAGATGTGTGGGAGGGTGAGAGGATTCACCAGAGAGACAATGGGAAACAGAACAGGCAGACCGATCAAAATGCTGAGGGGACCAGTGGGTGATATAGGAGAGGTCTGTCACGCCATGTGGGTATCTCCCAGGCTGATGGGGATTGAATTGGCACTACAGAGGGGCCAAGGACAGCCTCACAGTGCTGAGTTTAACTGCCTGCACCACCAGGGAGGCACTGTTTTTTTTCTTTTTTATAGCTAAGTAGTATTCCATTTTTATTCATAAGTACCACATCTTAATCCACTCATTTGTGATTGGAAGCTCAGATTATGCCCATAAATTGCCTATTGTAAATAGTGCTACAACAAACGTAAGAGTCATATATCACTTTAAATTAGTGTTTTTGCATTCTTTGGTAGATACCTAGAATGGAACTGTGGGATCATATAGTAGGTCTATTTTTAATGTTTTGAGAAGACCCCACACATTTCCATAGTGAAATTATTTAAATCAAGAGTATGTACATTAGCATTTTAAATGATTAGTTAAATATCTTTAACAGCTGAAATTTCCATGACCATTAATAAAATTAAAATTATTAAGTCATCTGTTTAACCTTTCCCGAGTCTTTGTCTACATTACGCACTTCAAGGAAGATGTAAAATACAACATAAAAATACTTGCTGAATTATCAGGATAAAACTTTTAAAACACTTTTAATTTTTATATCGGGATCTTTTGACATAACTCAAAGTAATTGATATGATAAAAAAACTTAGTAATCTAAAATGTTATCCAAATAATGTTTACATAAAACACATGGCATATGTCATTAGTAAAGTGAAATCCCAATTGGCTAAGTGTGCTAATGCATATAAAGATCTTTGTGCAGTCTGAAAATATTATTCTATGCTATTTCTCCCCGTGAATTGTGGGTAATATGCAGTTGGTATGATTAATGTTAATATTAACTATGAATTCCAATTCATATGTAGTGTACATATATAAATATGTCTCTTCTTTGAAGCTGTTGGAATAATTGGTGCATATATTTTCTATGATTCATGTATGCCTATTGAGAATGTGCTACATCATTTCTCCATATGTTCAACTTCATATAAAGCTTGATATCATGGAGTAACTAGTAAGCTGTTGTTCTAATTTATAACATGAGGAATGAGATATGAGACTTGATTTGACTTTGTTTTTAGTGTGTGTTAGTAGAATAGAGGATGTTATCAAGTACACTAGTGGATAATCCACTAACAGATTTATAATTTGATGCCACAATGCAGTATCCTACAGTGCAACTTTGCAGAGCTTTTGTGTGTTTAATGTAAATATAAAATATATCAGTTATAATAATTTAAGTTATGCAGTTACAACAAAAAGACATCACAGAGACTGAAAAGAATGTTAATTTCTTGCTAATATTATGTGTCCATGTTGGTCAATCAATCTATTCTACATCTTCCTCATTCAGGGACCCAGGCTGATACAGCCCTTGCCATTCAAAACATCCTCATCCTTTATCTGGCACCTGGGAATATGGTGAATTACCCACAAGTTCTTAAGGCTTCTATCAGGAAGCAGTGCTTGCCACTTCCTCTCATAATTTATAGCCAAAGCAAGTCATATGGCTATTGTTAACTTAAAGATGGAAGAGAAATGCAATCCCATTACATACTCAGGTAGAAGACAACTGCAATATTAGTGGAGAGAACCAAGATGACCACATAAAATTAGCCAGTTCTTGTCATTGATTTTATCACCTAAAAATGACTTATAATATTGTAAAAATAAAATCACCAACTGTTTTAGAATATCAGTGTAGGAAGAACCAGCAAATGATGTAGGTGCTAAACTTGTAAAATTGATGATATCTCTCTCTTTCAGTGAAGTTGAGTTTAGGCAAGGAAATCATGATTTAAAAAAAAGTACAACTATGGGCCTCCCCGGTGGCGCAGAGGTTGAGCGCTGGGTTGCGAAGCTGCCCGCGGCCTCTGCGGCGCCGGTTCGATCCCTGGCTGCTCCCCGGCCACCGGAGGAGGGTCCCACATGGCGCGCAGACCTCTCCTGCCGCCCGCTGCTCCCCTCAGCAGTGTACTTCGGTCATTCTGCCTGCTCTGCTCCCAGCTCTGCCTCTGGTGAGTTCTCTCACCCTCCCGCGCTTCTGACTGTACCCAGTGCATGTATAAGCAAAAAAAAAAAAAAAACAAAGAAAGAAAGAAAACATGCCTCTATATAAAAAAAAAAAAAAAAATTACAACTATGGTTTTTTTTTTTTTTTTAAGATTTATTTATTTATTTATTTATACAAGCACTGGGTACAGTCAGAAGCACGGGAGGATGAGAGAATTCACTAGAGCCAGAGCGGGGAGCAGAGCAGGCAGAAGGACTGAAGTACACTGCTGAGGGGAGCAGCGGGCGGCAGGAGAGGTCTGCGCGCCATGTGGGACCCTCCTCTGGTGGCCGGGGAGCAGCCCGGGAATGAACCGGCGCTGCAGAGGCTGCGGGCAGCTTCGCAACCCAGCGCTCAACCGCTGCACCACCGGGGAGGTCCCAACTATGGTTTATTTTGAGTGAATGCACAAGGTAACCTATTTGGCAGAAAGCACAAAGTAAGACCTGCATATAGCACAGAACAGAAGCGATAGTATTGGCATAGTACAGAAAGCAGAACAGCTATGTGTGGGTCTTTTTGTTACCTGCGCCAACATGGACAAAATTATATGTGCTACCATATATGGTTCTCAAAAGTAATACATACAAACATAAATCATACTATTTTGTTACTTTATATTGCCAGTTATAATCTGAAAAATTAGAATGCAAGCAATCCAAATCTTTTATTTTTATTTTTTAATTTTTTTAAGATTTATTTATTTTATTTATATAAGCACTGGGTACAGTCAGAAGCACGGGAGGGTGAGAGGATTTACCAGAGCCAGAGCGGGGAGCAGAACAGGCAGACTGATGAAATACACTGCTGAGGGGAGCAGCAGGCGGCAGAAGAGGTTTGTGTGCCATGTGGAACCCTTGCCCGGCGGCCGGGGATCAAACTGGCATTGCAGAGGTTGCGGGCAGCTTCCCAACCCAGCGTTCAACCACTGCGCCACCGGGGAGGCCCTCCAAATCTTTTTTTTTTTTTTTTTAATTAATTATTTATACAAGCACTGGGTACAGTCAGAAGCGCTGGAGGGTGTGAGAAGTCACCAAGCCAGAGTGGGGAACAGAACAGGCAGACTGACGAAGAAATACACTGCTGAGGAGAGCAGCGGGCGTGGCAGGAGAGGTCTGTAACGCCACGTGGGACCCTCACTGGTGGCCGGGTATCAAACCAGTGCTGCAGAAGCTGCAGGCAGCTTCGCAGCCCTGCGCTCAACCGCTGCGCCACCAGGGGAGGCCCGGCCCT